CAGATCCAAGACTGCTGGCTGCCGGTGCTAGTGATGGTGACGGGGCTTCTCTCTCGCGCTTCGAGGGATGCCCTGGGCTCCTCCCTCCACTCAAGTTGCCGCCTCCTCCAGATCGACTCCCCCCGAACTTCAGGCCACAAATCGTGCCTGATGCATCGTAGGCTCCGGCGGAGAAGGGGTGGGTGAGGTCGGGGGCCGGCATCGCCCGAGGCTGGAGAAGCCATCTGCCCTGCCCCGCAAGAAGAAGGACGACCGCTCCCTCGCATTCAAGCGGAGAGCTTACGGACTCTGCTTCCGTTGCTTGGCGGAGGACCACTTTGTCGCCGATTGCCGAGGCCCTGTCACCTGCCTGGGTTGCGGCCACTCTGGCCATCGCAAGCGTGACTGTCCGGGCCGCCTTCCTGCCAGTCAAGGTCGCCTCCGCCGCTCCATGTTGCCGCCATCTGCTCCTGGCCTCCCCAACCACGAGCCCCCAACTTCTTCACAACAGTTGCAGCAGCGCTCGTGGGCCGCCGTGGTTGCTTCTCCGACGGGGCTCGTTCAGGAGGCCCTTTGTAGCAACTCCGATGTCTCTTGGTCAGGTCTGTCCGATCCCGGCAAGACTACCTTTGCTGCTGATCTGGGGCTGCCGCAACCCCTTTTTGCAGCACAGACCGAGACGCTGCGCGCCGAACTGCAAGCCCTGGTTACCGCCCGTGTGGAGGAGGTCGTTCAACCTCTCCGCGACATGGCGGTCGCTTTGCAGGGATGGGCGGCTCGGGTCTCAGGCCTCTTGGAGCGGCTGGAGGTTATTAGTGACAGAGTTGTTGCTTCGCCGGCCATCATCTCTTCCTTGGCGCCGATGGGTCCACCTCCTCCCTGGTGTGACCATGAGGAATTGATGCCTCCTGTTGCTGCTTGCGGTAAGGATATCAGTGATGCGGGTGTGGCCGGTTGCTCATCCGAGGTACTGGCTACTGTGGCTCTACCTGTAGATGTTCCTCCTCCTTTGGATCTAGCTCTGCACAGGATGGTGACTCAAGGTGAGGAGGCGCAAGCTAAGGTTGCTGAGAAAGTCAGAGGGACCGATGATATGGAGTGGATTGAGGTGTCCTTACCTGTTGGCTTGGTTGGAGAGGTTCCCCCCTTGGTCTCCTCTCCAGGGATGACTGCCTCAGAGGGCAATACCTATATGATGTCTTCCGGGTCCGAGGAGCTACTCGGTGACATTGGAGTGCCTTCAACCACCTTATTGGATGAGCTCCTAAGCAGTTCCAGTTGCACAACGCCACGGTCCTTGCTCGTAGAACCGATTCATTTGCAGATTGAAGGGGTATCTACTTGTTCCGGAAGGCGTAGTGACCGTTTGGATAAAAAGAACAAAAACTGCAACATTCCTACTGCCAAACGCGCTGAATATAGGTTGGCGGAGGCTTATGGGGAACTACCGAAGGGAATGACGTCTAAGAAAGCTACCGAGGAGGAGGTGCAAGAGAAGATGAAGCCTTATCTACAGATGTATAAGAAACCGCTTACGTCAACGGCGGTCCAGGCAATCCGTGCCTTGGTGGAAGTCAATGTTTGATCTCATTTTTCAGAAGGTTAGGCCCAAGTACACAGCTAGTTGCAGGCGTGTTCTTGAGGTTGC